GCCCCGTAATGGCCGCACCTGCAATAGCAGCACCTTCACCACCCGTCGAGACTCCTGTTCGAACAAGCGAACCTACCGCTATCTTGGAACTTACTAAAACGGTAGTCAGTCTCATCCAAGAAAGCAAGAAAGAACAGCGAGAACATAATGCACGGTTAGAAGCGATGATGAGAAATATGCGACCCATTGCTGTGCGCGCTCCCCAGATTCAGCAAGGGCTGGCTCCCGCAGCCAATCTTGGGGGAGCGACAGCTAACCTGAATGTCTGTTACGCGTGTCATCAGCCGGGGCATCTGGCCTGAGATTGTCCGCACCGACCTCCGCAACAGCGAGTCGGAGTCGCGCCTGTCGCGACGGCACCGATCCCTAACGAACCGGGACGAGTAGGTGCGCTAACGGAAGAAGTGGAAGGAAGTGGAAGTACGTTGGCACCTACTGAAGAAGCGGCGGAACTCATTCCGCTGGATCGGTACGTATCATTGGGTTATCCCGGATTGGGTATGATTGGAACGATTTGCCCCGCACCAGAGCAAAAGGAAGTGGCGGAGTGGCGACCTTCCCTAGGAGAAATGGAGTCAGGAGGACCCACTTTCGTCATGGGGGAAACAGATGTCCTAAACATCGTGCGAGCATTGGACCATCATATTCCCCTCCTGATTAGCCACCTGCTTTCAATTTCGGAGCAGGCAAACGAGCGAATGTTGCAGAACTGCAAGGCAAATCGGAAACGATTTGCCCTCGCTAAGACGACCAATGCAAAAACTAAAACTCCCAAACCCGACGAAAATACCGCAGGACCCTCAGAACTAGTCCGATTAGGACTAATCCAGAGAGACGATCACTTTTTACGAATCAAACCGATTCCGTGGAAAGCCGCGGAGTGCGATATCAAAATTTGGGGAGTTCCGTACAATGCGATTGTCGACTCAGGTGCTGCTGTTTTGACTATTTCTTTACGGGTAGTTGAACAAGCTGGCCGAAAAGGCGATTTGATTATGCTGTTGGAGAAAGATCAGCTTATCTCTGCAGACGAAGAAAAGATCAAAACAGTTGGGCGAATGACCAATGTTGCTTTGAGAGATGTCGTGGTCTTGGATGTTAATATGTATGATGTGCTTTTTGGTCTTCCAACTCTCGTGGCTCTTCAAGCAAACCCGGATTTCGAAAGACGATCGATCGTTCTTCGAAATACAGGGGGAAAACCGTACGCTGTACCTATGAGACTGACCCTGCGCACCACTGTTAACGCGGTTCAGCGAATCTCGCCAATGATGGCAGGGACCCTTCGCATGATTTCTTGGGAAAGTCCTACGAACGAGGGGCAGCCATCGGAGGATGTGAACAGCAGCAATGATGACAATGCGAAGATATTGAAATTAGCACAGCAGCGCATTTATTATCCGCCGTCCGGAGCGATTGCAAGAACGATGCATCTAACCGAGTTAGGAAAACAAAGAACCAGGGCGATGATTTTGGGCGAACCCCTCGTTCAAATCTCGAGGATGGTCGATTCTTTGGAACCCCCTCAGACCTTGTACGAGGGAACGACCCCACTTCTCACGCGCTACAGTGATAAAAGACCCTTTTGTGATATCACAGACTTACCACAATTTCTGTTACAACCAGCGAAAGAAATGTGATTGTTACGTCTGGGGGCAGAGGCTCGTTCTTTGGAACCCCCTGGGCGTTTCGAAACAGATCCAACTGGACTCGGTGTCAAGATTGCCACCAAACCCGTACCATGGCAGGATATATGTGACGGAATCACTCAGAAGGACACGTGGCCATCCGAGAAGAGGATGCACAGATGATGGCCACTGTCTTCTCCTAGCGGTCGGATCACTCGTTCATCTCTGCGCCACCTCATGAGAATGCGAAGCCCGTACAAACCAAGCAGATCGAAGTGCGGATTTGGGACCAACCGTACGAATTGCATGTTCCGCAATATGTGCCCGATGAAATTCACCGAACAATCGCAGACATTTTAACAGAATATCAAGGGGCGATTAGTGTAACGGACACTGACATTGGACTTTTGATGGTCATTCAGCACGAAATACAGACTGGGAATCACCCGCCTATTCATTGCAAGCCTTACCGATATTCCTTGGTGGAAAGGAAGACTGCCCTTGAACGAATTCGGGAGTTCGAGGCGAATGGATGGATTGAACCGGCTACAGGTCCATGGTCTTTTTCGGTAGTGTTAGTCCCGAAAAAGAACGGGTGGATTCGCATATGCATAGATTATCGGAAGCTGAATGATATCACTATCAAAGATGTATATCCCCTCCTCCAGATTGATGATTTGTTGGATGTGATTGGGTGTGCTAATTATTTTAGCGAGTTTGATATTCGCCATGGTTTTCATCATATCCTGGTCAACGAGGAGGATCGGCCGAAGACGGCGTCCGTTCTGTTTGAGGGCACATGGCATTGGATACGGTGTCCGATGGAGATTTGCAACGCTCCTGCTACGTTCCAACGAGCCATGAATGTTACGTTCCAGAACTTCGTTAACATGACGCGGCTGACATAAGGAATGATCAATTTCTGTGTGATCGTGTACATGGACGACATCTTGGTATACTCGGAGACCTACCACGGACATGCGCAACACATTGAGTGGACACTGAGTGCTTAGCGAGTCGTTGGGTTCAAAATCGCGCTCGAAAAAAGCGAATTTTTCCTTTCGGAAATTTCATTTTTGGGTTATGTGGTGACACGTGGAGGGCTGCGACCGGACTCTCGAAAGGTCGCAGCGGTGAAGGAAGCTCCCGTACCCACGTCGCTGACGCAGGTTCAAGCCTTCCTGGGACTGGCCTCATATTATCGGCGGTTTATCAAGGGTTTTGCTGCGATTGCGAGGCCTCTGACAAATTTGTTACAGAAGGACCAACCCCTTAGTTGGGACGGGGACTGTGAACGGGCTTTCGCCACGCTTAAGGACGCTTTGGCGACTGCGCCCATTTTGATCCGGAAGGACCCTACGACGCAGTTCATTCTCGTGACGGACTGGCAGCCGGAGGCGATTTCCGCTATTTTAGCGCAAAAGGGGAACGACGGCTGCGAACACGTCATCGAATACGCGTCGCGAACCGTTCCAGATTAGCGGAAGAACGACTTGGCTCCACAAGGCGAGTGCTACGCCGTTGTCTGGGGCATTCAGCACTTCCATCTGTATCTATACGGACATAAGTTTCTGTTGGTGACCGATCACGAGCCATTGCTGGCACTAAGGCGGCTTACCAACTACACCGGCATGATTGGATGCTGGGCCGTACGTCTGCAAGAGTACGACTTCGACATCGTTCATCAGAAGACAGAGAGACACGGGAACGCCGACGGACTGACACGTCTGCACCGACCGGCGAAAGTGCCCAAGAACGAAGAAATCACCCCGTGGAAGGACCCTGATACGGTGAACGGACCCAAGTACGGACAAATAGCAGTGCTTCCACGTGGCAAAAAGGAAATCGATGGCAATAGGTGATGGAGGTAATTCGTCTACTCCTCTCTCTCCCCTTTCCCCCTCGTCTCTTTCTTCTCTCCCTGACAAATTTTGCTATTTTTGTGAGTCAATTTTGTGCGTCTATTCCATTTCTATGCACCCCAGTGGCGACGAATACGTCGATTGGATAGATTGTCAGCAGTGTGTTTCATGGGCCCATGGCTCCTATATCCAACACCAGAATTACGATAGACCCTGGTTATGTCCTTTGTGTCGGGCCAACAAGATTCCGACCGAGGCCCGATTTCTCGAGACCACATCGGAAGGGTTAGAAAAAACCCGACAATTTAGACGGGCTGAGGTTTGGACGGACATTGCTTTGATAGCCACTCTTGTGGGTAGCCCCATCCAGAACTTCACTAAGGAGGACCGAAGAAGGGCCAACGAAAGGGCTCGGGATTACCGATGGACTAATGGACGGTTGGAAAAGCGTAAGACGGACGGTAGTGGGATCTGGATGGTAGTTCCGCACCCATTCATGAGGTATGACTGGGTTAGGATAGCACACGAAGAAATGGCGGCCCATTTTGCCGTACGGATTACCGAAGCCGCTATCGACCGAAATCAATGGTATTGGTCCAATATCCGGGACGACGTCAAGTTCATCGTCCAGAACTGTCAAGTCTGCGTGGCTGAGAAGGCGCCGATTCAGTTGCCACGGTCGATAGTCCCGACGGTGGTCGAAAGGCTGTTTCAAAGAGTTAGCATGGATACTACCGACATAGTGGTGCCCCCTGGACCGAATACCTGTGAATATTCAATTTTGTTGGTTTTTGTTGACCACTTTTCGAAGTGGATCGAGGCGTATCCGTGCCGTACGCGGCAAGCCGCCGAAATCGCGCGATACGTCAACCGTTTTCTAGAGATGCACCAGGACACGGAAAAAATCTTGATGGATAACGGGGCTGAATTCAGAGGGAAAGTCGAGCGGAACCTGGTCGTGCATGGTGTCGCTATTCGACACACGGCCCCGCACATGTCGCAATCTAACGGCTTGGTGGAAAATGCTAATAGGGTGATAAAAACGGCGTTGCGACGGAATATCGCGGCACGTGACTCCAGGCCTTGGCCTGATATCGTCGACCACATCTTGGCGGTCCACCGCAGAACGCCCCACGAGTCGACGGGCCTAAGCCCATTCCAGCTGCGGACCAATAGCGTCGCATGAGTTTCGATCCCGAGCCTCCTAGATGAATCGACATTTGACCGACGGCCCACGAAGGCCACGGCCCGGGACAAGGCGAAACGACACTTGGAACTGATGGAGCGGTCCCTCCCCAAGTTAGCCCGAAAGCGACAGAAGATGACCGAAATGGCCCACGGACGACAGGTCCGGAGCTATGAGGCCCGGAATGGGAATGCTGGTCCACGGACCCAATATAAATTGGGGGACGTGGTGCAGGTAAGGAAATGTGCTCGTCAGGGTAAACTAGCGCCAGGATTCTTCTGGCGATATCGCGTGATCGAGCTCGGGCCTAACGGCGTGGACACCGTGCGTCTCGCTCCCGAGGTTTCCAGCAGTCATTCGGCTCGTCCGATCACACGCCACGTGTCCTATCTTCGTCTCCTCCCCTCTAATCCATCTCCTTCCACCTCGGTTTCTCCCTCAGAGGAAGCCGACGACGACGATCTTGTCTCTCCGGCATCTCCCTCTCCTTCTTGTTCTCTATCTGCTACCCCGTCACCTTCGCCCTCGCCATGAGCTTTTCTACGAAGCAGGTGTTAAGCGAGCGGCTGATGGTACCAAGAGGAGCCATATCCGCAATACGGCAGCGTCGGCAGGTGCAGAGGCCACGACTGAGTCCCGATCTTCTCCGATTTGCGGCGTTCTTCAGCACGGCTGCTCTCCACGCCGCCGCCGAGTTCCGGTTCGAGCGAGCTCTATCCGCCTGGGTGTTAGCCGAGGTGTCGGCTTTTCGACGCCTGTCCCCTCCGGGGATTAGCCACGTGTCTGCTATTGTCGCCTTCACAGGCGATCTTACGGTGATACACCCCGCATCGCTTTTAGTCGTCCTTCGCGAGCTTCGAGAGTGGGCGAGGAGTGTTCGGGAGGCATGGGTGCAACTGCTTGCTCCACGAGGACAGGTAGACCCCACGGGTGATACGGACCTTACTGCTATCCGGCTTTCCATAGCCGAGCCTGAAGTCCCCCGGCGTGAACTTCGACCCTTTGTGCGGCCTCAATAAACCGCCATCGTCTCTCCACCTTCAATCTCCCCTCCAGTACTCCCACCTTCTCGCAGTCCGCAGTGGATCCACCTCTCTCTTTTCGGATCCGCCAGCCGGATGTGTCGATCCTTGACGCCGACAAGTGAACGCAGTGGTGGAACTCGTACGAGGCCCTCAGTTTCTGCCTTCTCGACCTCGTGTTTCACTGGGCAGAGCCAGCCAATCCAAGCGAGCAAGCCGAGATCCCGGACGACGATCCGGAACTGCTGTTGATCCAAGCGTGGGCCACGGACACGGAGGGAGATTTCATAGGAATTCTCTGCGGCGAAGTTGACGACGACCACCTAGCGCCGATCACGAGCGAAGCGTTGGTTTTCCTCACGCAGCTGCTTGACGACCTCCAGCTGGACATCCTCTCTCGCTGCGACGAACGGCCGAGAACGGTCACTATCTGTCGGACCTTGCAGCCCGTCCTCCTCTGGTCCACGTGCACAGAGTTGGACGGCGAAAATTGCTTCTACCCTTCTCAAGGCGTGTGTCTGGTCATCGACGTCACCGATCTCTCTACCCGGGATCCACTCATCCGACGCATCCCAGCGGGGGAGACGGGTGACGACGAAGAAGAAGAAGAATCGGGCGAGGAAGAAGAAAAGAGTGACGACCCCGACTACCGGGAGTCGGAAGACGAAGTGTTGGAAGAGGAGGAGGGAGAAGACGATCAGGAAGAGGGTGCACATCAGGGATCAGACGAGGAGGAAGCCGTGTCCACAAGTTCGAGCGGGGCGGTTGAGTTAACCAAGGAGGAGCAGGAGCAAAGGAGACGACGACAAAGAAGCGGAAGCGGATCTTCCCCCTCCAGGGCTGCCCTGCGCATACGTTCGGATGCGGGAGCTCGGGCTTCGTCCCCGGTCGTTATCCCATTGTCCCCTTGATTTCCTCACGGTTCGGCAGATTCCCGGCCGGCCTCCGTTCCCGCGTAACTGGCCCCTCTTCCCGCATGCTCTCTTCCACCATTGCTACTCCACCCGCCTGTCTATTACCATTTTCCCCCATGTTGCCACCCGCTCACACGTCACCTCCTTTCCCCTCTTCGTCCTCCTTCTTAGCGCGGACTGGCGAGAGTTCAATAATATAGAGCTCTACTGCATCATCGCAGGCACCATCCCAGCCTGCGAAGACTATGATGATTTCCGCGCCGCCATACCCCGCACCCTCTGCACCCTTTATCCCGACTATTTCCTTTCCCTCCAACACCAACGTTGACACCCCCGCTTTCCCAGTGTACATCGCTCCATCCACAATACCCC